GAACGGAGTTCGTATGAAGAAGTTATGAATTTCGCATGGACTTTAACAATTTAAACCGGTATAAATATGAATTTTTGTTAGAGCAAGAATTAGAAGTTGAGACCTTAATCAAAGTTGTAGAGCTCGTCGAGAGGATTCTAGGGATATAAATAACGTCGAAAACGAAGCTCGTATGTGAAAGTTATGGGCGTCTGAATATCTGCGAGAAATACACTAGGTTGATGACGTGGCAACACCGGAGTGCACCACCTGGCCATGTCGAGTAGCCGACCCTTTCTTGAGACCGAGTGATGTGGCACGACGTGGGCATGACACATGTCGCCACAATAAGCTAACATGTGGCATGTTCTAGAAGAATAGGAGGTGGTCCAATGGAAACCGGACACGTGGAGAAAGGGGGAGAGGAATCAACAAGGCCCGAGTGTGCGACACGCCTCTTGGCCATGCGCGACGCGCTTTTGGCAGTTCAATACCCCTTCCGATTTAACTTCATTTCCACACCAAAACTTCCTAAAACTCTCTAAAACCTCCCAGTTTATTAAGTCTGGTTTTATTGGGTTTCTTGGGTAATTTTAGCAGGGCTCTAGCATATCTAGGAGTCTGACAAATAGAAGCTTTCACGTTGGGATTCTATCCGCACAATTTTCCGGTTTTCGCTAAAATCTCTGTAAGTTAAGACACACTTATTTTATTTCAAGTGTAACTTATATTTATGTTCATAGTCGTTATTATGAACCTATAAGTAAGATTTATCAGTGACTCCAAGTTATTATACTGATTGATCTACTAACGGGGATAATGTCTAAGGATGGATTTAGTGATATGTTTAAAGTGGGATTTTCAAACAGTATACTATGTATACCAAACGGACCTACCTCCCATATTCCTACTTGGTTATCTTTACTTGATAGATCTTGATGTAGACATTAGGATTGTTGAAGAATCTAGACTATCATTAGTCATAAGGAATATCATACTAATATTTATTAATAATCATACCTAGGTCACGTCAAGGGAAACGTCAAAGTGCTAAGGCGAAACGTTGCTCAAATTCTGAGGCATCCAATTTTAACAAGTGAGTGCATAGTTACTTTCATTTACACATAGATATAAAGTATTTAGATAGTTAAGTGATATGTGTGCCTATTATCTATGATCAAGACCTTTTGTGTTAAATAAAAATTATATGAGTTGATTTTATTTAATCATATATGTATTTTTATACTTACAATATATGGGGTAGTAAAGGGTAAAAAGAGATGAAAATAATAATGAGAGGCCGATACTTTTATAGTACTATCGGACTAGTAATGTAGTTACCTAGTAGGGTATTGATGATGACCATTCTAGACAAGTCGAGTCAAACATGGACAGGCTTGCAACATGTAGATGTTTATAAGCCATATATGGACAGGTATACTACATGTAAGTATCAGTATATCATACACAAGCAAGTTTACAACCTATAGGTGCTAATAAATCGTTTTGTAGTCAGGTCTACGACCTGTAGGCATTGATGAATTGTACACGGGCAGGTCTACTACCTGTAGGTGTTATTGAACTATACATTGGCATGTCCCCGACCTGTAAATGTTAAAGAACCACATACGGACAAGATTACGACCTGTAGATATGAATAAGTTATTCATGTGGGTATTCTGTTCACCCTATGGCCATCTTATTAGCCTATATTTCTAAGGAATCCCCGAGGTAGTATTGTTCACTTATATATCCTTTAGGATAGATCCCTTGAGATCATCGGTCTAGGATCAGGGAATGAGAATAACGGGAATGGATAACCGGGTTAATTGTTTGATGTGAATTATCTAATTATAGCAAATTATTTATAATATTGTGGGTTGAAAACCCTATGTACTCACCATGTTTCCCAACCTGACCCACTCAACTTCTTTATATCACAGGTAGCGGTACGAAGAGACAATATGCTGAGAGATTCGAGGAGTTTTAGGCCATTAGTTTAATTACTGTAAGCTTGTCAAGTTTATGATTATGTTTTCGTATCGATGATGACATACCAAGTTTTTAATAATTAATGAAAAACATTTCTTCGAAAGTACTTTTATGGATAAATTCTGCATTTATAGATAAACTATGTTTTAAAACAAGCATAAAATAAAACAGTCTTTTCTGGCCGAGAAAATTGGGGATGTCACAGTACACCTCAATCAACTTCTTATGTGGAATGTATTTAGATAGATTGATAACATCCTGGTCATTCCCTAAATCTCTAAGACTAAATTGAAAGCCACCATTGGGTATCTTAAAATGGTAGTATATGACTAGGGAGTCCAAGACATCAACTTCATTCATCCGTAGGTCTGGGTAACCTAGCTCAAGCATTATGGTATCAAGTTCATGTACAAACAACTCATCTATATCTACATAATCAACATAATGCACTTCACCTCCAATTTACTTTATATCAGGTAACTTAGTAAACTTCCCACCGTGATGTAGCTTAATACTAAACCATGTGGGTGGACACGCTACAATAAACAATACATGATAACAAAGTCCAAATTTTGCATTTTTGAGTCTGAAAATCAATGGGAAATGCTTTATAGAAAAATTAAAGAAAACATAGCAACTTACCATTTATGGATGATACATCTAAAACTTCATTTTTTGGCCTGACATACACCATTTCGACTTGAAACGTATGAAATCACATTTTCTTTGTTGCTTTGATTAGGATTTTTTGCAGGTTCTAATGGAGCAAAAGAAAGAGTGGGGGAGGTGAGGAGTTGACGTGTGTTTGGGATCGTAATGAGGGTTAAAATATTATATTAGGCATTGGCATTCCATCTGCGAAAATGGTCCCTAAAAGGTGAACAAACAAATATACCCTCGCATGGGAGGCACATGAGGGGGTTAATAACAACAATTTAACGGGAGTTAAGTCGTGGGACCATTTCCACATACAAACTAGGCCAAAATGACCACAACGCCAAAAAAGTCGGGGTTTGGACTAAAACCCGGAAAAAATGCATACTATAGGGACCATTTTTGCAATTTTGTCATTTAAATATTTAATTAAAAAAATGGACCAAAACCACAATAAAATAAAAGTTTTGGACCTCTAGTGCTAGTCCAAACCTTTTTGGACCAAAGTGGCAATTTCCAGCTAACTATATTGATCATTCTTGCAGTTTTGTCTTTTTAAAAAACTACTTAGAATAGTTTTTTTTAGAAGTTTTTTAAAAAAATTTCAAATATACTCCTTAATTACTTATAGAAACACATTCTTTTAAATATCCTGTTATGTCATTTTATATCTTTCAGCTAGTTCTACCAAACGTCATTTTTTGTCAGCTAACTTTTTATTTAACAACTAGTTTTTTAGCTATCAGCTAACTTTTCAGCTAACAACTAGTTTTTTAGCTACTATGTCAAACATAGTCTTAACGATTTGTACCATCGATAGCATTACGAGTTAGGATTTTAGCTTTAATTAAACTCTAATCTGCCATAAGGATTAGGAGTTTGGCTGCAACGATTGTTTTCCACGTAATGATCCACATAATGATCCATGTAATACTTTTATTCGATTTCGGAAGGTGAAATGGACAATAACGGTTATTGTCGGTCATAAAGATATTTTTTAACACATATCAAATAGTACAATGGCAAATGATGTATAACAAAAAAGAACATATAACCAAATGTGAACAAAAATGACAGGGGATTACCTAATAGATCATTTTCCCTAAGAAAATTATGGACCTTAAAAACTCCATAGTGGATGCTTAAAGTGTTTAAAAACATAAAATGATGGGTCTTGACTCTTGATTGTTTAGGTAGCGTTTGGTATAAGAACTGAACAAGATTGAACGGTAAGTCAGTAATGGACTGGACTGAACTGGACAGGACTGGATAAAACAAATTATTGGAATTGACGTTTGGCAAAACTAGAACAAACATGGACAGAATATTAAATTACCATATTAACCTTGATAAAAAAATTAATTTAAAATATCTTGCTTATCTAATGATTCTACATAATTAGCTAATAATAAGAATCTTGTATAAAATATCCAAAAACAATACAAAATCAAAACTAGAAGCGTCTTATAAAAAATTAAACATAAGAATAATAAATCATGGGATAAAATATAGTTCTGGGAAATTGAATTATTTTGTGACCTTTCATGGGGAAAGTAAAAATTGAAGAGACCCACTTTATTGTTTCTATATTATCTCACCGGCTAAACTCCTCCACAGGTACTCTAACCTTCATCCTTTTGATTAATTTCTTTTTCATTCAATAGACTGAAAGTCTGAAACTTTATCCACACAGAATTTCCCATGAATCCTCGTCTCTCTACCTTTAACCACTCCATCCTCTCAACCTGATACTCATCTAAATCCTCCACTGAAGTGTCTATCGTTCAATCCAGAAAAGAAACTCTACTCGAAGGGGGAACACAATCGGGTGCAGAAAACAAGAAAAACACTATACAAGAAAAACACTATGATTCGAGATCAAAATTTCTCCTCCTAGTGTTGCTCATAATAAGTGATGAATATTGCAGGAGACAAACAAATCTCGTTCTTAATTTTACGCCTAGAAAAAGAGTTGTATATCTTTTTTAATTCAGATTCGTGATAAGTATGCAGGAGCAGGATTTTGAAAGGATTTCGTGGGTGGTGCAAAGGGTAAACAACGGTCACCGGAGATGGTGGTGGTTAGTTTTATCGAGGAAGGGGATGAGTAAGCTTCATGGGGAAGAGACGGGGTCACCAGGGAAGATGAATGGGGCTTTGGGTATTTTAGTCATTTTCGTTTTTGTTCCGGTGTGTTCCATCCAAAAGGACGGGACTAAAAATTCAACAGTTAGTACCATTGGACTTGGTCAAATCCCCACTCTGTTCTTGTTCCAGATGTGCCAAACGCCTTCTAAAAAAATTGTTCAGTTATTGACGATAACCTTAAGCAAAACCCAATAAGTTGAAACTGATGTGGAAATCTCATATTCCCATCCCATCCAACAAAAGGCCTCGATTCTTATTCCATTAACATAAAATACAAAATAAAAATAAATAATAGTAACAATAATACTAGCAAAAGTAGTAGTAGCAGTAATAATACAATCGTATTCAAATTTCTACATGTGCTCTATGCTTATTTCAACACAACCCCATTCCCATGCCGCTTTACTCTTCACATAACTTAAATTTTGTGTGCGTCTGTGTTGTGTCTGTGTATGTGTCCATTTACCGGGTCTCATCCTCTAAGTTGCGGAAACCAGCAGTCAAATCCTCATATAGCTTCTTAAATTTCCCAACTAGCACATCCTCTCCTTCAGCCGGATCTTCAAACTTCTGAGACCTGTTTATATTCATATTCATATTCATATCCATATCAAACCCACCCACCCACCATTAAGTTAAACAAACACAATATATTATTAACAACAAAAAAAAAAAAAAAACATATTATTTAAAAAAACCCATTAGGAGGAGGAGACTTACACCAAACGATAAAACAAATCACCCAACCGATGCTTAATCAATGTATATGTGATCTTCTGCCCATCCATACCAGCTCCTCTCTCCACCGACTGTATTGTATATTATATGTGAAATAAATAAGTATAATTATTTAGATATTATTATAACACTAGTAGCAGATATATATACCTGATTGGCCAGATTATAGAAATGGATTATGTTGCGCATCATCCACACAGATTTGTAGAATGGGCAGAATTTATCATATCTGTCATCACCAAACCAAACCAAAACAATCTCATCATATAACACTTACCTACTGTTTCATATCCAGTAACCTAAAGGAACTATGTTTGCTTGCCACATAGGAATAGGATTAGGAATGAAATCATGCATTCCTTCTCCAAGGCTGATTTTCATTCATTCCATTGGGAAACTGTTTTTTTCGTTACTTCATGGAATGGAATCATATATCATAATAAATAATAAATAGTTATTCGATGGATGTTTTTCAATTGATTTAAACCATCAATTAAATAGTTATTTTTTTTTTTTATATTATAACTCAGTTTTAAGATTTCAAAGTGTTTGCCTTTTTTTTATAGACAACTTTTTAAAGTAGTGAATAAACTTTCTTAGGCTATTTAAAATACAGGGTATATATTTCCAACAACATGAAATATGGCTATAGGTATATCTTTATTTTATCAAAAGCTTATTTTTAAACAATACCAATATTTTTCTTTATTTATTAAACTAATGTCATTTTGTTTTATAACAAACAACATGTTTGAATGACTAATTACATTCCATTCCATCTTACCATACCAAACAAACATATGATATGATATGGTTTATGAAAGGTACAGTACTTACGGTGTAAAAGCATTCTGAGCAAGATAGTCTTCCCTCAAAAGTTTAGCAGTTTCTAAGGTAATTTTATCCGTTTCAGCCAATGCATCTTTACCCACCAGCTACAACCACCACCATCATCATCATCATCATCATCATATGATATATTCATATACATATATACTAGTAATATAATAAAAGCAGGAACATAGTCATACCTGGACAATCTCATTCAGGTCATCTTCTCTCTGCAACACCTCACGAGCTTTTGTCCTAATGTTGATGAAATCCGAATCAAATTTCTCATAGAATGATTCCAGAGCCTAAACAAGAAACAGTTTTTTTATTTGCAGATATAAAAATACAACTAAGCTTTAAAAAAAGCAAGTGAGAGACAATATTTGCAGATATGGTGCTTACCGTTGAGTATTTTGAATAGGAGATAAGCCAGTTAACAGAAGGAAAATGTTTCCTCTGGGCAAGTTTCTTATCAAGACCCCAGAAAACCTGACAAAACATTCACCTTAGCATTGTTGAAAACAAATTTATTTATTTATTTAAAAAAAAAAAAAAAAAAGGATCTAGAAAGCACCTGAACAATGCTGAGGGTGGCAGATGTAACAGGATCAGAGAAATCTCCTCCAGGAGGCGACACAGCACCAACAATTGTGACACTGCCAGTACGTTCGGGCCCACCAAGACATTTTACTTTGCCAGCACGTTCATAAAAGGATGCCAGACGTGCAGCCAGGTAAGCAGGATACCCACTGTCAGCAGGCATTTCTGCCTAAAAATAAAAACAATATTACTTTATTTGTGATAAACTCATAAAAATTAAAATATTATCTGGAAACTTACCAATCGACCGGAAATTTCACGCAATGCTTCTGCCCAACGAGAGGTAGAATCTGCCATCATACTCACATTGTAACCCATGTCTCTGAAGTATTCAGCTATGGTAATTCCTGAAAGTAACATTATCTTAATTAGAATCATAAACACCAAATTCACAACTAATTAACCTCTAAGAACTCATTTTACCTGTATAGATTGAAGCCTCACGAGCAGCAACAGGCATGTTAGATGTGTTGGCCACAAGTGTTGTACGTTTCATCACAGACTCTTCACGCCCATCAGGTAATGTCATTGTCAATTGAGGAAAGTCCATCAGAACCTGCACCAGTTTGTATAAATAATAAAAATTCTCAACATCATAAACCATATATATATATATACAACACTAAAAAAGAAAAATGGAAATGGAAATCATACTTCTGCCATTTCATTTCCTCTTTCTCCACAACCAACGTAAACAACAGTGTCCGAATTTGAGTACTGCATAACAATTAATGGTGGGAATGAATAATAATAATAATAATAATAATAATAATAATAATAATAATAGTTTCAGAACATAATATTTAAAATGAGCAATGGAAAAATAATATACCTTGGATAGAGCTTGACTGATAACAGTTTTCCCACAGCCAAAGGCACCAGGAATGGCACATGTGCCACCAAGCACCGAAGGGAAAAGGGCATCAAGGACACGCTGACATAAAAAAAAAAAATTACAAAATTACAAAAAGATGCCACCAGGGACTAATCTGCAATAACATAAAAGATTTGAAACTTACCTGTCCAGTGAGAAGAGGGGTATCAGCAGCAAGCTTGGAAGCAACAGGCCTTGGAGTACGTACAGGCCAAGTCTGCAAATAAAAGGTGCATCAAGTATAGAAAAACAGGGCAACTGATATTTTAAAAAGAAAATGTTAATCATTAGAAAAAAAAGAAAGAGAAATAGAAAACCTGGAGCATGGTGAATTGCTTTTTGACACCTTGGAATTCAAGCTCCAAAACAGTGTCCTGAACAAGTTATGTGTTAGTTGAAACAAGTCTCAAGATGACAAGTTTATAGAATTTGGATGATAAATCAAATCATGTTATTTGTTGTAAAGTATAGACCTTTAATGAATAATGACCAGCTGGTGCAACGTAGGTTATCTTTCCCATAGCACCAGGAGGTAAAGCAATGTGATGTTCCACTAGACTGTTCTCAAATACAGTCTGCACATAAATAAATGAGAAGAAAGTAAACACCCAACGATTTGAGTATATGTATACAATTACTGTTGCATTTCTATAAACAATCAAGAATATTGAATGACTTACAGCATATAGATCGCCACCTGTCACATGGTCTCCCTCACCTGGCACCAAAACATCAAATTATAACTAATAAATATCTGCATGAACATGAACATGAAACCTCTGGGAAACTTTATAACTGTAAATTACCTAATTTCTTGGGTTGAAATTCCCAAAGGATGTCCTTGTCAAGTGCTGGGACAGATACACCACGTGGGATGTACACATCATTTGATATTTTTGCAATAGTCTTCAGGGGCCTCTGAAGATATGAGTTGATAAAAGGTATATATGAGTAGAGTTAAAAGCTGTTTGAAAGATTAAAGATTTGTTGTGCAGTAAGTGTAACAACTTTCAAATCATCAACAAGAGCAAACAACTATTACAAACCTGAATACCATCAAATATGTTCCCCAAGATTCCAGGACCCAACTCCACTGACAGAGGCTGAAGGTAAGTGAAGAGGTTAGTGCAATTGATTTCCAGATTATCAACATCTTTAAGCAAGTTACAATATGCAATAAATACCTTGTGTGTCCGTAAAACAGGATCATTCACAGTCAATCCAGCTGTCTCTTCATAAACTGAAATACAATGGACACTTTATTCTCAATGTGTAGACACTTAAAGATCCTTCATGCTGTGTGTGTGTGTGTGAGAGAGAGAGAGAGAGAGAGAGAGAGAGAGAGAGAGAGAAGACCAAAATACCTTGGATTGTAGCAGAATCTCCTTCCAAACGAATAATCTCTCCAATAAGGTTGTCATGTCCAACACGAACAAGTTCATACATAGCAGCACCAGCCATTCCATCTGCAATGACAACTGGTCCTGATACCTGTCACATTGCAACCAGCTTAAGATTAGGATTATCAGATACTCCTCAAAGCACATGACATGGACAATCTTTGCTCTTGGTAATAGCATTGTTTTTGAAGTAAGAAGCACTGTGCATAAAGAACATAACCATGCCCATTGCCCATTTTCACACTCTTCCAAAAATCAGATATGACAAGAAAAACTCACCAGAATGATCCTAACTGACGGAAGGTAGCCTTGAATTGTAAAGATTTACTGATATGTGAAACTATTTTGTTTTAGGATATGGTAGTTCGTGTAAGCCTAGGTGGATTATCTTCAGGCATACAACCAAATTAAAATATGTAACCACTAAATTTGCTCGAGAAAGAAATAGCTTTCCAAAAAATAAGTGTTGTTTTGCATTTTCTTTTTCAAAATGTCGTGGAGAAAAACACAGTCGGGCTACAGAATCCTTACTAAGTTATCTTTTAGGTCTGTAGTTCTTTGAAAATACAGTTACTAATAAGAACCACTCGAGATAAAAGAATAATAACAGAAAAGTACTAAATTATCATGTCAGGTGAGGCAGCAGAGATCCTGAGGGATGGAGTAGACGATTAATTGTCTGAAGGGTTAGGTTTTAACATAGAAAATTAGAATTCAGATAGTGCTTGAACGCGAAATGTGAAGAAGAATCGGAGTACATATAAGTTAGCGAACAATCAAATCCACATATCCAATCCAGCAAATTAGATGGCATCAAGTAACTGAGCAGATAAAACATGGTAAGGAAAAAAGCATGCCAATCCGATCGAAGTGGAAAAAGACTAATAAATGGTTTGACCACAATTAACTGAATGGGAGATGGGGAAACATAACAGATCAACGAAGGCTCACCTTGCGGACGTAACCACACTCGCTCTCCTTCTCAGAATCTTCGAAGGTGGTCAACCGAGCTCCATACGCCGATGGCATCTTTGATCGTGGTTGCGATCACAGATGAGAGGAACTATGATTGGTTGAATGCAGGGGGTATAATCCAAATCTTTGACGACAAATCCAATCAGGTAGAAAAACGCACTAGGGTTAGAGAGAGGGGGTTCAGGTATGCGAAGCAGCAAAGAAGACGACGAACAACGTGATGAACGTGTGGTGTGATTTGTGAATGGATATGAATCTGCTCTGTTTGCTTGGGTCTCTGGGTCTGGGGTAGTTACCATATGAGATCTGTAGCGATTAAATCGCTGCCGCATGGAGCATATTTTCGAATGACGTAATTGCTGAATCACTGATAATTAATAATCACCCCCCTATAGTTTTGTAAGATCGTCTCGTTCTAACCTTATTAATATTTTAAACGGTTAAGAAACTAAAAACATGACGGGATTGGTTTGATTATTAATATATTGTCTTAATGAGTAAGGTAAGGTCGCCAACGTTTTAGATTAAATCATTAAAATGTTTGTATTTGTAAAATAGAAACGAAATTTTAAAAGAAAAAAGAAATTGAATATAAAATTGATATATTATGTCGTTTTAAATTTTAAGGGAAAATAACGCAACGGCTCTACTATATATTTCGACTTTACCCTTTCAATCCTTAAAATCCTTTAAGGGAACAAAGTTGATGTGGATCTGTTTTTTTTTTTTTTGTCAGTGCGACCTAATATACCAGGTTACCTCATCTCTTCATGAGAATCCCATGTTTTTAGTAGGGGTGAGCATGGTGCGGTTTGGTGCGGTTTTAGGGCCAAACCGAACTGCAAACCGCAAGGTGCGGTTTTCGAATTCTAGAAACCATTGGATGCGGTTTTTCAATGGTTCGGTTTTGCGGTTTTTTAGTGCGGTTTCGGTTTGTACCGGTTCGGTGTCGGTTTTAAACCGAGTCAAACATATGGTGCGGTTTCTTATGTTCACCGGTATGTTTTTTTTAACCGTAATGTTCATGTGAAGATTAAAGATTGTATGACATGGTGTCATTTCGTTTCCTCAAATTTAGAAGTTGTAATTTTGAGTTTTTTATGTTGTTAATTGATCACTTCATTTGCAACCTATATTTCCAAGCTCATTTTTTTATTCAATTTGTGCTTAGAAGTTACAAGCTTGCAAGTTGTAGCCCACATAGTGTTTACACTTTACACATAATCATTAAGTCACAAACACAAAGTGACAAACTCACATATTAAACCTAATACCTAATTATTAATTACCGTCAAGTTCAATATATAATATATGTATAAATTAAAATTTATTAGTTTTTTAAATAATATGTATAATTGTATAATATAAATTAGAGATTTATTTTATTGTTAATAAGTTTGCGGTGCGGTTCGGTTTTGGTGGTTTAGTTTCTAGATAAAAACCGCACCGCACCAATAAATTCGGTTTTTCAAAAAAATAAAATCCGCACCATCGGTTTTTTTCATCTGTTTCGGTTTTTCGGTTGTCGGTTTATTGCGGTTTTTCTTTTATCGGTTCGGTTTTTGCTCACCCCTAGTTTTTGGGGTTTTCTCCATTGATGAGTTATTGGTTCATATTTCACATTTCACTCAAATCTAACCTTATGAAATCGATTGAATCTGGTTTTATACCCTAAAATTGTTTTCTATTTTTTATAGTTTAATCAATTTTGTGTATTTCCTATCGAAATTGTTTTGAGGACCAAATATTATGAATCAATGATACAATTTGAAATTTCACACACATAGAAGTCGCACACATACACACAAAAGTTGGAGGACTGGCAAATTCATCGTGATGTGGGAAGGAGGGTCGTCATCTGTGGTGACAGAGGAAGGTAGCGGCGGCGGAGGAAGGATGAGGAAGTCGTCGAACACGGTGGCTGGTCAACAAAGTTGTGTTCTTCTTAGAAACCAAGTTCACCGTCATCGTCGTTCCCTTCATACGCAGCCTGTCATCTTCATCCTTCCTCAGCTCATCACATCTCAATTTCGCCGTCACTACCACCTTTCTGAATCTCAAACAGTGCTTTGGTGTCCCCACCTCACTCATCCCCAATAGTTCTGAAGAAAAACAATGGAAGCTTTTGATCTACCATGTTTCGCTTCGTCTGTACCCACTGTAACGCCCCATTTCTGGTATGTGATTTAAATAAAGTAATTTTCATTTTCTTAAGGGATACTCGACGAGTCTGTAGCCCAACTCGTCGAGTAGAGACGGGATGTTCACGCATTTTAAGTTGGCTACTCGGCGAGTCCATATGAAAGGACTCGGCGAGTCTGCCTGTCTGGATGAAGCCCTAATTTCAAGGGTTTGTACCCTATATAAACGTCATTATAGCCTCCCACCCCAGCCTCCAGCACCTTTAGAGCATTTCCCCTGTAAACCCTAGCCCCCATTGTTGAGCTTGAGTGTGTTTGTGCTAGTTTGGAGGTTTTGGAAGAGAAAGAAAGAAGGAAGGATCCAAAGGAGAATAAGAAGATCCAGAGTCTCTTGATCATCAGCCTCACATTCTGGTACTAAAGCTTGTACCTTGCTTGTTATTTCCATTTGATAGTCTTGTATGCTTAGATGTGCTTCTTTTTGGGACTTTTTGGATCCAAACTCGAGATTGGGACTCCTATAAGGAAATAGATCATAAATCTGAGTATATTTGAGCTGTAGGAGCTCAAAGTAGCTGCCTTTATGCACCCAAGGTCGAGTTCCAAACCCTAAGACCCCATTGTTAGCTTATTTTGATGTTCTAGCCTCATCTCTTCATGCATGCACGTAAAGTTGGAAACTTTACGTGTAAAACCAACCCTAAGAGCCTAGATCTATGATTTGGAAGCACTGAAATCGATTAGAATCGACTGTATAGTAATAGCATGCTTGGGACTCGGCGAGTTGTTCTTCAGGCTCGACGAGTGTTCATACAACTCGGCGAGTCGGATGAAGTTAGACTCGATGTATGTATCGAAGAAGAACTCGTCGAGTCTTCGCCAAACTCGACGAGTAGAAGCGAGTAGAGGACTAGAACGGATGAAAGGGACTCGGCGAGTTGGCGGCCCAACTCGGCGAGTCCGGTCAACTGGAGGTTGACTTTGACCAGGAAGTTTGACTTTGACCGGGGGTAAAATAGTCATTTCACCCCCAGTTTAGTTATCAGTATTTGATTGAGTATATTTATGGGAATTGTAGCCGAGGAGATACCGGAGCAGTAGCAGACAGTTCCCGAGTAGCTTTTTTCAGCATCCAGCTTACGAGGTGAGTTTCCTTCCAGTAGGAACGAGTCTACGGCCACAATGCCGGCCCGTTTAGTTAGCAGTAGTTCCAGACCTCGTCCAATGCAGTAGTTCAGTGTGCTTGATGTCTTTGTGATTCAAGCATGTTTTTGTGATATGAGTTTCGGACTTCGGTCCGATGCAGTATGTAGTATATGTGTTTATGCCAGTAGTTATGATTATGCTATGCTATGCTCAGTTAGTTCCAGACTTCGGTCCGATGCCGGGCGGGGCCCGATGTAGTGGGCGGGGCCCAAGCTAGTTCCGGACTTCGGTCCGATGCCGGGCGGGGCCCGATGTAGTGGGCGGGGTCCAGGTTAGTTCCAGACTTCGGTCCGATGCCGGGCAGGGCCTGATGAAGTGGGCGGGGCCCAAAGCTAGTTCCGGATTTCAGTGCGATGTCGGGCGGGGCCCAGTATTTGCTTGCATGTCATTGTATGGTATGTGATAGTTTGGGGAACTCACTAAGCTTTGTGCTTACAGTTTCAGTTTTTGGTTTCAGGTACTTCCGCAAGTAAGGGGAAGAGCTCGGGATGATGGCATGGCACACACCACAGCTTCAGTTTTATCCTGGGAGTTTTATTCAGATATTTCGATATGATTGATACAGTATTTGTTTTGACACAATTACTTGACTTTTGAGTTACTCACTCTATGGTTCTTAGTATGTATGACACTGGATGATGTGATTTTAGTAATATTAAAACAAAAATTTTTGGGTCGTATTTTGGGATGTTTCACCCACAATCCCAACCAGGAACCGGCAGATCCTTTGTATTTGGTCGATCCTCCTCCTTCTATTTCGTTCACGACAACTGAAAACCTCTGACATCTTGCTGCTCTTGTCGTATGGCATATAAGAGGAGTATAAATTGGATTTACAGGAGTATCTTGAACATATCTGAAAGATGATGGTAAATGAACTAAAAGGCCCTACTTTTTTCATGGCTTGTTTACGCTTGGAAAAGTTATACTCATTCATTTTATTTTTATATTTGTATTTATTATCTTTCAAGATAGGAAATAGAAGTAATGATGAGCTGGAAAACATATTTGGCAATTCATTTAATGATGTGGCAGATAGTAACGGGTTTACCCCTCCAGTTCTTACAAAATGACCAAATCGACCCGACAAAAAACAGTTTGTTCCCTTAAAAGGCACGAAAAAAACTTTAGGGACTGAAAGTGAAAGTCAAAGTCATTTTCTCAAATTTTAATGTTTGTCTTTGTGAAATATTGAAACGAAAATAACACCATAAAAAAAAATTCATATAATATGGAATCGATACTATTAATTTATTTTAACATATAATTTTAGTTTGGACAAGACTTATTAAGCATTTTAATAGTAAAAAAATAATAATAACTAGGAACAGGCCCGTGCGTTGCACGAGTCATTCTTTTTGGAAAAAAATAAAGGACAGAAGAATATGCTAGGCGAAAATGACAAAGAATAAAGAAAAAGATGTTGAATTTAGCAACTTTTTAGAAAACATGTGGCGGAAGTCTGAATGTTAAAAAGTTCGGGTTGATAATAGATGGAAAAAATATCAAAATAAAAGAATGTTGGAAAATGGGAGACTAAACTGTAAATGGATTAAAGAAACGAAGCATTTTTGGGAAAATGTAAAAAACATATGATAAAAGTCACAAATAAATCTTTTTAGAAAAAAAAAATAAAAGGCAGAAGAATATGGCAGGCGAAAATGAAAAAAGATAAAGAAAATGAGTTGAATTTAACAACTTTTTAAAAAACATGTGGTGAAAGTCTGAATGTTAAAAAGTTTTAAGCACTTTTGGGAAAATATAAAAAACATGGGAGTAAAGTAAAAAATGAAGAAGGTTATTGTTCAAACATTGTAAATTGTCAAAGTTTAGTGGCAGTAATATAAAGAATCAGTGTAAAGAAATAAAAATAAAATTTTAGTAGCAAAAATGTAAAAAAATAAAAATAAAGTGGCTAAATTATGAATTAGAAAAAGTTAGTGGCTAAATTATGAAT